GAAGAGCGGACGTGTTCCCTGGACACAGTGGAATTTTTCCAGGATACCAGAGCTATCCCAGAAAAACTCCACAGTCTAGACATAGCCTCATGCTCTCCTTTTCCATCAAGTACCTTCAGGGTATTACAAAAAAGTTTGTGACCTTCAGATATATTAGAACATGTAAAAAGAGAAGGACAAAAACCTGCAAAAAAACTTTTATACAAATAAACTTCTGCTGATTTACATGGTTGTCGGGAGAATTTATAAGTTCCAGATAAGCTCTGGAACCAGAAAAGAAACTGTCATATTCTGCATATGCCCAAATAAATGCACATTCTTTCTGAAGTACCTAGCATGGGTGTTCTATGCAGTTATCACCCATGACGTTTTTTAAAAGCAGCACCAATCTTGAGTAAGAGCCCTGTTCTAAAAGGACATTTTGGCACTTCACAGATTCCAGTACAGTATTAGACTTGCAGTTGAAGGACTTACAATTAAGATATATTGTGATTTCAGCACAACAGAACAAAAACAATTACCACCACCACCACCACTACACGACTTACCCTATTTGGAGAATTTTATTTGATCAAAAATAGTAGGTACGACATAATGCAATATGGGAACAACTCAGGAAAACCATATTCATGGAAACACTTTTCCATCAACTGTTTCAGATAGCGAGAAAAGGGAGATGAAACATTCTGCTACTGTAAAAAGGCCCACGCAAAGTGTCACTAAGGGTTGCATATTACAGTGGCAGGGTTGCATATTATAGTGCAAAAAAGTAGGTTTGAGAGTCATCTTGTAAGCCATTCCCTGAGGCAGTGGGATTCTGAGTAGCTGAGTTCATGAAGGGGACAGGGAGGCCCTCTGGATGGTTGGTAATGGAATTGGCTCACTTTGAGCATATACTTCATTACATTTCTAGCAGGCCCTTGGCACAAACCTTAGAGGCAGCGTGGCTTGACACTTAGGCTATGTCTACACTACCAGGTTATTTCGAAACAATAACTCCCAAAATAACTATTTTGAAATAAGCATAAACAACGAGAAGTCCCGTGGCACCTTATAGACAAAGACCAGATGCCCACAAAAGCTTATGCTCCAATAAATCTGTTAGTCTATAAGGTGCCATGGGACTTCTTGGTATTCATGCAGATTCAGACTAACACAGCTACCCCTCTGATATTTTGAAATAAGCTTATTCCTCTTCACAAGCCGGAGTTATTATTTTGAAATAACAAGCCTCTTATTCCGAAATAACGGGCTTGGCAGTGTGGATGCTCGTCTTGTTATTTTGAAATAGACATGCCCTTAAGAGTTAATGATGACAAAAGTAAAGAGAAATTTTCAAGACCGCATCTGGAAAAAAAAAAAGTTGGACCAAGCTACAGCATGAAACAATCAAAAGAAAAAAATAAAGAAAAAAACCCGACAGATAAAATGAGATAACTTGCTAGAATGTGACATGAAATCTGTTGAACAGTGTTTTATAGGATGTTATCCAGAAACAGTACAAAAGTATGGACAAGTGAGTCATTACTACAGAGCAAAAGACACTTATCCAAATCTAAGATAAGTTTTCCTTTACCTGCACTTGGTTTCAACTCTTTGCAGAAGCAACTGCTGTATATAAAGTTTTTTGTAGTACACTTTGTTTTAAAAATATATTTTTGTTTTCTTCCAGTAATACATATTCTATCCCTAAAGTTTTAGTCTCCGCCCATCTCGGTGGACATA